CCCCAAAAACAGCTGAAAGAAATGCAGCACATGCCTCAGAAATGGAAGGAACTAAAACGCCAGTTTATTGCTGATTCTAATGCTACCAGTTGAACATCTTTTCATATTTCTCAGTGACATGGACTCCTTACACGCCTCTAAACAATTTCTCCTCTTTTGTTCTATACTTCTGTTCTAGCACAAAGTAAATGTATGTAAATGCTTGCTACCATTAATATTTTTTAAATATCCCACAAAAGAAGACATGGAAGCGTATAGTTCTCAGGAACCTATAAACAGTGGGTACATTATTAATTTAATTTAATGGGTGGTTAACATTTAAAGGACATGGGGAAGTTAAGGTCAATTACAGAACAGATGAATCTTTATATTAAAGAAAATGACTGGTGGCCAGGTGCAGTGGCTCACGCTTATAATCCTGGCGCTTTGGGAGACCAAGGTGGGTAGATCACGAGGTCAGGAGTTCAAGGCCAGCCTGGCCAACACAGTGAAACCCCGCCTCTACTAAAAATACAAAAATTAGCTGAGTGTTGTGATGTGAGACTGTAATCCCAGCTACTTGGGAGGCCGAGGCAGCAGAATCACTTGAACCCAGGAGGTGAGGTTACAGTCAGCTGACACCACACCACTGCACTCCAGCCTGGACGACAGAGCCAGACTCCGTCTCAAAAAAAAAAAAGTAAAAGAGAAAATGACTGAGAGTATAAACATTTTTTAAACTATATGTAAAAAACAATATAAAAAATCAAAAGTAGGAAAAGTCTTTACCTGTTGTGACGAAGATAAGCTATGTAGGTCAAATCAGCAGGTCTCCTTAATGAAGAAACCAAATCTCTATGCCAGCTCTCTGATTTAGCAAATGGAAATACTTCCTATCTTGGCTGGGCATGGTAGCTCATGCCTGTAAACCCAGAACTCTGGGAGACCAAGGTGGGAGGATTACTTGAACCCAGGAGTTCAAGACCAGCCTGGGCAACAAAGCAAAATCCCATCTTTAAAAAATTTTTTTAAGTTAGCTGAGCATGGTGGTGCATGCCTGTAATCCCAGCTACAAGGGAGACTGGTAGGTGGGAGGACTGCCTGAGCCCAGAGGTCAAAGCTGCAGTGAGCTATGATTGCATCACTGCACTCCACCTGGGTGACAGGGCAAGACCCTGTCTCAAAAAAAAAAAAAAAAAAAAAATTCCGTATCTTATTAAGAAAAGCAAAATATAGCCCAAATCCCCAACGTTGGAGGTGGGACCTGGCAGGAGGTGATTGAATTATGGGGGTAGATTTTCCCTTGGTGTTGCTCTCATGATAAAAAGTGAGCCTGAGAGCTGGTTGTTTTAAAAGTGTGTGGCACAGAGAAGAAACCTCTATGCCAGTTTTCCATGTGACATCCTCCTCCCAGAGGGTGTAGAGCTCCAGCCCAGGCCAGCCCGCCTCACTCCTACGTGACCCCCCCACAGCCCATCAGGGTCCAGGGAGACATTTGTTCTTGCTTTAAGTTAGGAGTAACAAATAACTTTCTTTTTCGATCAGGGAAAAAAACCCACCTCTACCTTTAAAATCACACCCAGAGCCCTGCATCCCCTGCTATGTCCTATGTTGTTGCTAATGACAATACGATGCTTACTCTGTTATTCGAAAATGATTTTTATGTAATTAATGTATGCTTTCTTGTTTATAAATGCCTGATTAAAAAAAAGTGTGTGACATCTTCCCCCTCTGTCTCTGCCACCCCCCTGCTCTGGCCACATAAGACGCGCCTGCTTCTCCTTCACCTTTGCCACAATTTTAAGTTTCCTGAGGCCTCCCCAGCCATGCTTCCTGTACAGCCTACAGAACTATGAGCCAATTAAACCTCTTTTCTTTATAAATTACCCAGTCTCCGGTATTTCTTTACAGCACTGCAAGAACAAACTAATATAATAGGACATACAGTATGCTAACTTTTGTATACAAAACAGGAAAATACACATATTATGACTTACATAAAGTGCCTCTAGAAGGATATACAAGAAACTTGATAAAACTTAAATTATTTAGCTATACTCAATAACAAGAGTAAGATCTTCGTGGGTCAGAAACAGATGAGAAATTTAGAGTGGTTAAGTAGGCACTAAAGCCATGCAGCCCCCAGGAAAAGGGCATTTAGCTAAGAACAGTGTAGCTAAAGCTTCAAAGCTCTAGAAGTCCAGCATGCCATGCATGGGACAGAAGACCAGAAACAGACTTCTTGCTGGAACTGGGCCAAAAAAAGTTCCACCCAACACCTGCATGTGGCAGGAACAGAACTACCCTGAGAATAAACACTGGGCCTGCATAAAACATATAAGTAAAAACCCAAATTCCTAATAAAACAGCTGACCTAGAGCTATGTCAATGTCGGCCAGAGAGTAAACTCCAAAGCTACACAAAGGGGCAAAACTATCCAACATGAGCCCGCAAACCAAAATTATACTTTAGGAAAATTACTACCATCAGCAGACATACCAAATAGAATTTATACCTGAAGACAGTTTTTAAAATGAAGAATCTTAATTTTAAATGTCTTTGAGCATACTAAATATACTTCAGTGGGACTAACATCCTAAAAGAAGAATAGAAGATAATTAAATGATCCCAGGCATTTACGAAAATAATGTACTGCAAATCTTGTAAATAGAAAACAGTCTCTGAAATTAAAATCAGTAGATGGGACCAACACCTGGCTAACAACAAATGAATAGATAACTTATGCATTAGAAGTTACTTAGAACACAGTATAAAGATTAAGATACCACAGAAAGAGGAAAAAAGAATTAAGAAGCAGGAAAGACAGGTTCCAACAGTGAAGTAATTGCAATTCAGAAGAAAAAAAAGAGGTGAAAAAAAATTTTTTTTATAATGGTTGAAATTTTTCCAAGATATTATTTTCTAGGTTGAATAAACTCTATACTTCTAATCAGCTTTTTTAATCTACACTTATACACAGCAATATGGCAAAATATAAACATTAAGGATAAAGAAAAGTAACGAAGACCTAACAAGCTGGATCTAAAATTCAAGATAACAAAAACGTGGGAGCCAGGAATAGTGGCTCATGCCTATAATCACAACACTTGGGAGGCTGAGGCAGGCAGATCACTTGAGCTCTGGAGTTCAAGACCAGCTTAGGCAACATAGCAAAATCCCATCTCTACAAAAAATACAAAAATCAGCTAGGCGTGGTGTCTCCTTCCGGTGGTCCCAGCTACCTGGGAGGCTGAGGTGGGAGGATCACTTGAGTCCAGGAGGGACCTGATCAAATAATCTTTGACAATGGTGCCAATACTCCACAATGGGAAAACAATACTCTCTTCAGCAAATAGTGTTGAGAAAATTGAACATGCCCATGCAAAAGATTACAGATGGACCTTATCTCACACCATATACAAAAATTAACTCAAAACGGATTACAGGTCTAAAGGTAGCACCAGAAACTACAAAACTCCTAGAGTAAAACATAGGGAAAAAGCTTTATGACATTGAAATGAGCAATGATTTCTTGGAAATGACACCAAAAGTACAGGTAACAAAGGCAAAAGTAGACAAACGGGACTACATCAAACTGAAAAACTTTTGTGCACCAAAGGATACAATCAACAGAGTGAAAAGACAATCTACGGAATGGGAGAAAATATTTGCAAACCACATATCAGACAAGGGGTTATTACCCAGAATATGTAAAGAATTTTTTAACTTGATAATTAACAACAAAAAAATAATCCAATCTGAAAATAGGCAAAGACCTTGAATAGACATTTCTCCAAAGACATACAAATGAGCCAGTAACAGCGGCTCACACTTGTAAACCCAGCACTTTGGGAGGCGGAGGCAGGTGGATCACTTGAGCCCAAGAGTTCAAGACCGGCCTGGGCAACAAGGCGAAACCCCAGCTCTACAAAAAATACAAAAATTAGCCAGGCATGGTGGTACATACCTGTAGTCCCAACTACTCAGGAGGCTGAGGTGAGAGGACTGCTTGAGGTCAAGGCTGCAATGAGCCATAAGTGTGCGACTGCACTTCAGCCTGGGCGACAGAGAAAGACCCTATCTCAAAAAAAAAAAAAAAAAAAAAAAAGATATACAATGGTCAACAAGCATATGAAAGGATGCTCAACATCACTAATCATAAAAGAAATACAAATCAAAACCACAATGAGATCTCACCCTCACACCTGTTAGAATTGCCAACGCCAAAAACACAGAAAATAACAAGTATTGGAAAGAATGAGGGAAAACTGGAACCCCTGTGCACTGTTAGTACAAGTGTAAAATGGTAAAGCTACCATGGAAAACAGTATAGAACCTCAAAAAATTAAAACTAGAACTACCATAGGATCCCACTTCTAGGTGTGTTTCCAAATGAACTGAAAACAAGATCTTGAAGAGATAGCTGCATAATCCACGTTCATTGCAGCACTGCTCATATGAAGAATACAGAAACAACCACTGATAGATGGATACAGAAAACATATATTCAGTATTATTTTTTTTCAAAAAATCCTATCATATGCCACAACACAAATTAACCTTGAGGACATTATGCTAAGTAAAATAAGCCAATCACAAAAGGAAAAATACTGCATGATTCCACTCATATGAGGTACCTAAAATAACCAAGCACACAGAAACGGCAAGTAGAATGGTGGTTGTCAAGTGTTGTGAGGAGGGAGAAATGGGATGCTGTCACTAAATGGGTAGTTTCAGTAATGCAAGGTGAAAAAGTTCTAGATAACTGTTGTTGTATATGCAAATAATTAACAATGTCATAATGTGTACTTAAAATCTGTTAAGAGGGTAATTTTTTTAAGGCAACTCAAGTAAAGCAGTGGAAATGGGGAAGGAACAAAGAAATCTATAATTGGTTGTGATCAATTACTTGTAAACACTACTGCACTCAGACCAGTGGGTAAATTTATTTGATGTGCTTTTTATTACAATTTTAAAAGGAGAAAAACATGGAAGAGAGAAAAAAGGAATAATAAATGTACCACTATTTGCTGATGACATAAATGTTGATGATGAAAATGCCAAAGAATCTACAAAAAAGCTATTGTCACCTGAGAAAGGTTTTCAATTAGCAATAATCATGCCTCGGATAAATCTCATTAGCTACGAAACTGCCACCGCGCAAAGTTCAAAAAAAGCCATATCACCTGATCTAGGATACAAGGCCAATATATAGCACAAAAGTCATTTTTACTTTTATATAGTTGATCTTCATTTACAGATTCCTTATTTGCCTATTCAGTAAAATTTATTTGTAATCCCAAAATGAGTATTTGCTGCACTCCCATGGTCATTCATGAACATGTGCAGAGCAGTGAAAAATTTGAGTCAACCGAACATGCATACCCAGCTGAGGTCAAACAAAGTGATAATGTGCCTTTTTGGTTCAGGTTTCCTATAATAAACAAGTCTCCTTTTAGTGCTCTACTTAGTGCCACGTTTTTGTGCTTTTTTTTCCCCTGGCAATTTTGATGTTTAAAATGGCCCCCTGCCACAGTGCTCAAGTGCTACCTAGTCTACCTAAGCATGGGAAAGCTGTGACATGTCTTATGGAGAAAATATGTATTTTAGATAAGCTTCATTTAGGCATGAGTTATAGCACTGTTGGTTGTGTAAGTTCAATGTTAATGATTTAATAAGATATATTAAACAAGGTGTCTTTAAACCTTCAAATAAGGTTGTTGACTGTAAAACCAACGGACAAAACAGTACATTTTATAATAGCACCGAAAAGCCAAACACTATGCTGAAAACTATAAATTACAGATTAAAGAAATTAAAAACTACTTAAGCAAATGGAGAGATATGTTGTATTCATGGATTGGAAGACTTTATCTGGTTAAGGTTTCAGTTCTCCCCATCTATAGATTCAATGCAATTCCATTCAAATCCCCAGTAATCTTTTTATAAAAAATGACAAGCTGATTCTAAAATTTATAACAAAAGGCAAAGGAACTAGAATTGCCAAGACAATTTTGAAAAAGAAAAACGAAGTTGAAGGATTCACACTATCTAACACCAAAATTTCATATAAAGCTTCAATAATCAACAGTGAGATGTTGACAAAAGGATTAACATACTGGAAAATACGAAGATAAGACAATCTACAAATAGACACACATATATATGATCAATTGATTATCCACAAAGTTGCAAAAGTAATTCAACAAAAACAGGATCATCATTTGAACACATGGCGCTGAAACAACTGGATATCCATATGCAAAAAACTATGAGCCTCAACTAATACCTCAAACTATGTATAAAAATTAACTCAAAATGGAACACAGAGCTAAATGTAAAAACTAAAACTACAAAATTTGTAGAAGAAAAGCTGGGAGAAAAATCTTTGTGACCTTGGTTTCCTAAAAGTTTTCTTAGAAAAGTGACATCAAGGCCAGGAATGGAGGAGGGGAGGGGAAGCAAGGGGGGAGAGAAGGGGAGGAGGGAGGGGAAGGGAGGCCTTTAGTTGCACCAATTCAATAAAGTGCCTATTTTCTCCAGTAAAATTAAAAAACACAGTGCTGGCAAATGGACCTAGTATAATTTTCAAAGGCATGAAAATGTGATGACAGACATTAGGCAAACTAAAATCAGGATAAAGTGTACTTTCAGTTGACTTTGAGACTTCACAAGGAATGAATCAGTAAGAAAAGAAGAAAAACTGATTAGTTACAAACTGAAAATGTCAAGGCTGGACAGAAAATGAACAAGAATGAATTTCAAAGATATTAATCCTATATTTCCCACCAGGTACAGATGTATAAACAGAGAATTAAAGACTGCTGAAAATAAATTAAAACCTATTTTGTAAGACTTTGAAATTTTTTCAAAGATTTTAATTAAAAAAATGTACTTCTACATCTGCAGTGTTATCTAAACCTCAAAACAGTAATTTTTGATACAAAGAGTACTATCATCTATTCGACAATGATGAAACTGAGGCATGAAGATTAAGGCATAAACATCATATCCAACAGCAGACCCAGAACTAGAACGTAAATTCTGCTAATCTCCATTCCTATACCTTTTTCTGTCAACTTCAGTTAACAGAAAGAGGAAGCAAAACCAGTCCCTCAGTTCATCTATAAAATCCACTTACGTATAAAATCCACATCTAAACGGCCATTCTATAAGAGTGGTTTGCTGCTACTATAATGAACAGACTTCTCAGATCTCATGTAAATAACAAGCTCATCTAATGCACTCTAAATTGTTTCATTTACAAAATCAAATGAAAGAAAAATGTAAAAGAATCACCTACACCTACTGTATTTATCTCTGCGATAACTTTGACATAGTGCTATGGTTAAGTACTACTTTTCCTTTCACTATAACTCTACTAACATACCACATAAAATATTTTTTACCTTTTTCTGAATATTACAAACTGATATTCTAAGGCTATGTATCAGTTTTTAAATTTTTTTTTATTCCAAACTTGGCTCTTCCTTGTATGTGCTATTGAACACTGCAAGTGGCAAAACTCCTTTCAGCCAAGAGTTGGGATGAATTCTGAAAAACACTGCTCAGTGAATCCCAACAACTAAACTGTTCCATTAAATGTATGTCAGTCCTAATTACTAACTCTAAGTACTACCCTCAACTTCTGAAGCTAACTGACATACTGTACATTTATAGTAATGTTATCATAACTAAGCAAAAAAAAAAATTTGTGACTAAACCCCCAAAAGATAACCAAGACATCTGTAAAACACATGCAAATGTGATAAGAGACTTAACATTGTACAAACATTCCAATACAACTATTCTCAAATATTTTACCAAAAAGTCAAGAACTTTGGGGGAAAAAAATGACTGCTAATGTACATCTGTTACACAGATTTCCTCACTTAACAGCAAAGTAAAGTGGAAAGTAGGATTGATCTAGGACACAGATATAATTCCTACAATTGCATGTCTTAATTACAAAAAGATGATGTATAATAGGTTATTTTTCCTACAGATTAGAAAGGTTTAGTAAAATGTTTAATCAAATGGAAAAATATTATCTAAGATCCATATTATAAAGTTTAGACTAGATATTAATAATTGAGACCTTTAATAATTTGGTAAATTATATTAATGGCATCTAGTCCTTCAGAAAAATTCCTAAGGTTTTCATCTCTCCTTTGCTTAGGAAATTGGGTAACCATAGTCACAGCAGGTAGAAGCACAAATTCTCAGAGGCAGAAAGTTAGCTAGAGCGGCACAAATTCCCATGTGCTAATGTACAAACAACAGCTCTTTGATCCTAAAGAACTCCACTGTCCAAGAAAATAATAATAAATTTGGAAAGATGTATTTTAAATTGTACATTAAGATATGTTCAAGACCAGGCGCAGTGGCATATGCCTATAATCCCAGTACTTTGGGAGGCCGAGGTGGATGGGTCACCTGAGGTCAGGAGTTTGAGACCACCCTGACCAACATGGTGACACCCTGTCTCTACTAAAAATACAAAATAATTAGCTGAGTGTGGTGGCACATTCCTGTAATCCCAGCTACTCGAGAGGCTGAGGCAGGAGAATCACTTGAACCGGGGAGGTGGAGGTTGCAGTGAGTCAAGACTGCACCACTGCACTCCAGCTTGGCCAGAAGAGCGAAACTCTGTCCCCTCCAAAAAATGAAAAAAAGGATATGTTCATACCATATGATCCACTTCTTTTACCTTCCAGAATTAAGGACACAATCATAAATAAGGCCCGAAAAACCCATGTGTTTAAGGAGATAATATCCCAAGTACTGTAATTTGATCTTTACAAATTAAGTGAATATATTATCACATGTACCCCAAAATTATGCACATCTTTTATGCATCAATAAGTAACAAAATAAAGACAAAGATTTGTATGGTAGAGTGTTTACCACTAAGTTTTTATATTTTGATAAAAACAAACAAAATGTTCAAAATTGGAAAAAGTTAAATACCTTGCACTGCCACCATGAAATGAAAATCAATGAAATCTTTAAAGGAACCATTTTTAAGAATTAATGACATGGGAATACATTCACATTGTTTGGGGGAAAAAAAACAGATATAAAATTACATACAGTTTAATCCCCATTAATTTTATCAACAGGAAAAAACATTTTTAGGAAAGCTGATTAGCACTGTGTGAATGATAAACTTGGCTGACCACACTAATCTACATTCCAGATCTGGACTGCCAGGAACTGAACAGAAGAGAATAAAGTGGGAAAATTTTATCATCTACCATTAATGTCTAGGCATATCTGACTTATAGATTAATTTCAGTCAGCCTCACATATTCCAATTTTTTAAATAGAAAGTAAGGCAGGAGTGTCATCCTTTTGGACGTTACATGTGTCATTCAGACAACACCTGAGACTTAAAAGCACTAACAAATATTTAAATCTCTCCACATTTCCATTATTTTCATCTAAATAAGGTAAGTCTACATTTTAAATCATTGAGGATGATTTCAAGGTAACCCTGGAATTTTTAAGAAGATACTCTGAAAATCAGGGAGAAAAAATTTATATTATGACTGAAATAATTAAGAAGTAATCAGAGGAGCTTTTTGTGGATCCTCCATAACCTAAGGTAAGGAAAAGACAAAAAGAGAATAGGTTTAGGATCTGAAACCCAATTTTGCTATGTGACCTTAGATATGTTCCTTAGCTTCTCTTAGTATTAGTTCCTTCATCCATAAAACAAAGATAACAACTTACTCAAAGGACTCTAAAAAGTATTAAACTGCCAGCACAAGGTTTAGCATACAGTTGGGAACTCAGGAAATGGTAGTTATAAATAATAAACAATAATCCAGCTGGCTAGTGTACAATCTCAATTATATTAGCATATCTAAAGCAAATCCCACATCTAGGTAATATCTGGTTTAAATTCACTGAGTCTAAAATTATCCTACACCATTACACCGTTGTACCAATTACACAAGACTGGAGCCAATGAATGTATTGGTAAGTTCTTGAATGCATACAGGTATAAAATTGTTGGGTTGAAAACTCTTAATTTCAAACAGATAATAAAAGGATGGAGAAAAGACAGACTTTCCTGTTATTTAAAGAGCAAACCTAAAAATTAAATTAAAAGAAGGAAGAAATCAAATGGTGGAAAAACAGCAACGATCTAACAAAGGTATCT